CCTCCTCACCTGGCGATGTCGGCGTAGCCGTCGCTGCAGGCCATGTGCAGGGGCGTCCACCCGTTCTCATCTCTCTGGTGGATGTCGGCGCCGTATTTAACCAGGAGCTTGACGCACTCCAGGTTCCCAGTGAGCACAGCTTCGTGGAGGGCTGCCATGCCTGGAAGGAGGGGACTTGTTAGCCCTGCACTAGGGCAGGAGGCTTAGAGCTGAGCTTCCAAGTGTCCGCAGCCCGGGATGGATGGGGGCAGCAAACCCGCGTTATCAGGGAGATGGCTTCGGGGAAGGAAAGAGACTGAGGAAGCAAGAGGAGCTGCCGCCGGTTTCTGTTCCCGTTCCACAGCATGACCCACCAAAGCTGGTGTAGCACCCACCTTCCTGCTGGGGCAGGCAGGACAGAACCAGGGAGGAGGAGCTGCGCCTTCCTGCAGGGCTCCCGGCCATCAGCCAGCCCTGGGTTCTGGCCGGGACTCGCACCAGACACGGGAATATTGTGTGTAGGGTTCTGTGCTGTCCAAGTTTTGGAAGCTCCTCATGGAGCAAGTACTGAAGCAATCAGCATGGACAGGAGGAAGCTCAGGGTCATTTGAGACCCTGTCTCCATGGCCATGTGACAGCAGAAGCTGAAGCCAAGCACAAGAAAGGGACAAACCTGTGTTCTGCACTGGGCGTTGTGGATCACGGCATTCCATGAACAGTTGTGAGGCTGGTGCAAACACAGCACAATGCCTTCCCGCGGACAAAACTGCTGCAAGTCCACAAACCCGGACGTGCAGAGAGGACAGTGTTTGTGAGAAACAGAGAGAGCAGGAGCACATGCTCCAGACGGGGTGGAATGCAGGAGCCCCATGGTCCTGTCCAGGGCTCCAGAGACCAGCCTGTGCCCACTGCTGCTTGCCTACGTCCCACCACACTGTAGGTCCCCATCGTGCCTTGAAGGGATGCAGGGGCTGAGTTCCCCCCTTCCCGCAGCAGACACTGGCCACGCTGATGGGGAGAGACGCTGGGGCACTGGCACAGGGCTCTCTTGGGCCCTGCTTGGCAATGCTGGGGCACTGCTCCTCACCAGGGAGGAAGGTGACTCCGTTCCAACCTGTCACCCTGCTGACAGTGGCCACATCCCAGCTTTGGCCACACAGCTCCGTCTGTGCCACCACAGATTGCAGCTCTGCCGGCCCTGGCAGCACTCACCAGAGGGGTAGATGGTGTCCAGCGTCACCTTCCTGGCGCGTATGAACCTGCCCACCTGCTCCAGGTCCCCCTGCCTGATGTGGTCCTGAAAGACGATGTCATTGGGGAAGTGCACGGTGCGTGCGGCTCTCAGTCTCTGCCTGTACCGACTGTACCGCGGCATTGAGGCCAGGCAATAGTCCTTCATGCTGGCGGCAGCCTTCGGGCACTGCGGGGGGAGAGGAGCTGGCGTCGCTCAGTGCTCGGCCCTGCTGCTTGCTGCCCTCCAAGTGCTGCTTTTCCTCTTCTGTGCGTCGGGTCCCTCCTCACGCACGGT